CTATTCCGTATTACAGCATTGTTTTGTCACTAATTCAAGAAATGATTTTGACCACCAAATAATTGACTGGAAGGTGGGCAACTCTTTCTTTAACTTCGAAGGACAAATACAGTAATTTTTTAAAAAACTTTCAGTATAAAGCCAGGCTTTGTGATTTTACAAGCTTAGTGCTGCCTCCAGTCCGGTTTATGTTTACCACCAGTAAGGATAGCCCATGCTGCGCATGGGCCCAATAACACTATGTTTAAGTTGAGATAATTAGCAAGAGAAAAAAAAAGGAATTTTTACATTCCTATCCCACATAGGAAACCCTTTTTATCCTACATATTTAAGGTATGAGTAAATTACATTTAGTATACCAAATTACCATTTCTATACCATAATTCAAATTAGTGATATAATTAATGGGCATTTATATTAGGCATAATTATAGGACCGTATATTCCCACTTTCTCTTTCCTTTCATTTATATTAGGCATAATTATAGGACTGTATACTATTACTTAGAATTCAGATCTTAGCTTAGGACTTTCTTTTCTTCATGAAAACGGCATCAGCAGTTGCACAAGCAACCATTCCTTTCACGTAGGAATTTTTTAGATTTCGTTTCTATAGTTTATTAACAACATTTTCTAGGCAAAACATTTCCTATATTAGTACATTTTCATAATTCTATTTTTATAGAAGTGGATTTTAAAATCACTGATTTTTTGTGGCTTTGTTTACACTTTCTTAATCGATGTTCGTCCATTGTTGTATGTTAGTATGGGTAGGAAGCATGTTGCACGCATATCGTGGCGTCGTATAGATAATCCTTCTTCAAGCCAAGCATGTATTAAATCGATTGCATAAATTATATAAATTTTGTAGCTTTTTATCATAATTTTTAGATGTTTACCTCCAAGTTCTATGTAATATTTGTGTATAACTGTCAGTTGAATATAAATTACACAACAAAAAATAAGAAATAAATACTCCAATCGTAGAAATGTGTTATCCACAAATAATCTGCAAATTGTCTACAAAATTTTACAAAAACTACAAATTAACTACATTTAACCTACATTATAACTACAATCTGGAAACAATTTACACATGGAAGTTCTTCAAGTTGGAATTGGCCACAACTACATTTTCTTGTTTTCTAGACACACAATGTACCGCTTCACACCATCCAACACAATATGTATATGATCTGTTGAAGCCCTCACCTACATTTTCAGAACAAACACAAAGAAAAAAAATTACAATATTAAAAATATAGTATCTACAATATATCTACATTTTATCTACAAATTAACTACAAACTACAAGTAAACTACAATTTGCCTATAATTTATCTACAATCTGGAGATACTGTATATTAAAATATTTTTTTCCTGCACCAAATAAAGAACTTGTAGTCAAATTGTAGATATATGTAGTAAATTTGTAGATAATATCATAAAACTAAAAATTCTAAGCATTTTCGAACTACACAAACCTGCATTCTCATCTACCACAATGGCATCAACTTCAAAATCTCTAAATCTGCCATAGTTATCCCAATTCCCATTCAATTTTAGCATTATTGGAATTTTTGACATGATTTCGTGTAGTTGAGAGAAAAAAAGATGAAGAACAGATATAGGTTCAACAATTTGAGTACTGAGGACGATGAAGAACAATTTTGAATCTACAATTTGTATTGCGTTTGTTGAAGCTTCTGAAGCTCTGCGTTGTTTTTGAATTGTAGTGAAAGAGAGAATTACGCAGCAATCAGATCTCTTTCCGTTTCAAATTTCGAATTTAATGTGGAAAGAATCAAACGCAGATTTGTGCCTTTTTTTCGCGCGTTTTAAATGGCAGAATCTGCCTAATTATGGATTGGTATATAAATTGTAGTTAAAGTGTGGACTGGGCGGGTAATTAACAAATTATGCATATTTTTGGTAATAAGGATTCATATATGGTATAGTTAGGAAAGAATCCCTATAATTCTTAAGTTATATATACATTGATAGTATAAAGATTTACTCATCATTTTTACGAGCTAGGTGATTATTTGTTTTTGTGTTTCAACTAAATGAAAACATCTTTTTCCTGAAGTTAAGGCATGTAGTTTAATATTTTTATTGTTTATTGTTTATTTTTTATTTGTATAGATATATCAATGCCTTTTGGATTCCAATTAAATTCTTTTTTTTCTCTTAATTCTTCTGTAATGTTTTTAGTTTTTTGCTTAATTTTTTATAAAAGTTATTAGCATAATAAATGTCATTCTTCTATTTAATTAGAAAATTTATCCTTAATATCATTGTAAAGAAACTAATACCTCCGGCAATGTTGCACTAAATTTGCACCAAGTTAATCACGTCGTTTGATAATACTAAACTACTGGATTTTTCCTGCTCATCAATAACTTTACATTTTTTTTTCATATCGCTATTATGTGCATAATTCATTTTCCTCTATTATAAATTATTGAATAAAAATGTTTTCATTTGGAATAGTCTTATATTACGTCTAGAGTATTAGGTCTGTATGTTGCTTTATTTTTGATAATTTTCTGTAATTTATTTTTACAAAAGAATTTTTTTTTTCCTCCAATAAATACCTTGTATCGCTTCCATTGTATTAGGTTTCTATCTTATTTTATTTTTGATAAATTTTCTACAATCTATTGTAAGAAATAATCTTTTACTCCAACCAAAATCAAAATTAAAATCGGATAGGAGTAATAGGTTTGGACATCAAAATACTAATTCAATATTTTTATCCACAAAAGTTTTGTAAAATGACTACGAGTTACAAAAATGTGCACACACAAAAGAAGGAAAATGAAAATTGATGTACTTTGGGTTAGAATATAGCTGGAAAAAAAGGCTGATATGTAATATATTTAACATGACATAAGCCATTTGATACTCCAGGAAATGGCAATTTCATAAATGTAAGATGTGTTGAAAGTTGAAACTTTGAAACATTAAAAGAGGGTCCACGTGATAGGAAGTGGCAACTTCAGATGCTACTATAAACGCATGGCATGTAAAATAAATGGTCAGATGGGCCCACATTTCCAAAACTATGCATATCTTAAGGGTGATGAGCAATGACATAAGCAAAGGGTAGTTTAGGTAAATCACTCAAAAGTTTATACAGTAGCTACAGTAAGATTCTTTTTTGACCAATCATATTACTCCATCGTAATTGAAATGACCAAAATACCCTCTAAATGCCAAGTGGGCATGTTGACCAAGAGGTGCCTGCTTATCCTCTCTTATATAATAGTAGTAGATAGATATTTCCTTCTTAGTTTGTTTAGAAAATATCGGTAGGTTTTTTAAGTTGAAAACAATTTAACTTAAATTGACGATAAATTATAAGTCTTCTTGTATTGGACCAAATTTGGCAACCACGGCAACGGATTAGCAAGACATGGGACGGAGTCGTTACAACACAACGACTGACGGTTGTTGTGGCAAAGGACGACGACCAGAGGCGCAGCTGAAACAAGATAGTTTCGGTAGTTTAAACTTAGAAAAGGACAGGAAGAATATGCCTTTTGGATATTCTTTATGTTGTACTTTTTAGGGCTTTTTAGGAAATGTCCCTTATAAATAGGATGAGATAGTAAAAAAAAAAGTGGGGATCGGCCTTTTTCGAAGAACACATGGTAAGACAAGAGAGAGAATATACGAAAGAATTATCTTATTAACTTTATCTAAGCACATGTTGTTTGACCTTCATCCATAAATCTTTAGATTCCACAGTCATATTAGCGGCAGACCCTTTGAGTATCGACAAAAGGAAGAATCATCCAATCACATAATCACTGGGTGACAGTTTCTTTTCATTATAACCATTATCATTTCTTGCATTCATTGCGCATTTATGATATTATACATACTGTCATTAAGTTCACTGATTAACCTCACTAAAATCTTCTCGTTGTATTAGACTTTCGATCTATTTGATCTAGGATTTATTAAGCTCAACTAAGATTCACCCCATTAATTTGTTATCGATTGGTTTAATAATTATTTGCTCAAGCACTTCTGCAATCACAAAAATTATGATAATTTTTTTATTTTCAATTAGAAATCTCGAATTTAAACTTTTAATTAAGTATGATGGGTCGAACTACTTATTCAAAATTAATAAACTTTTGAAATTTGAGGTGCGTAGCTCCGAGAATTTTCCTGGTAGCTGGAACATAGACCATAAGTATCATTCTTTTGTTCCTTGGTGTACGAGTACTCGTATATACGGATCTATTTGACGTTGAGATGATTGAATCAAACTATGACCATGATTTTCGTAGAATACAAGACGGTAATTAAATCATCCGAGTCACTAAAATTTGTTGCTTCAAGAAATGGATGGAGAGGATTAGATCAGGATCCACTATTTCTACCTTCTGAGACTTGAATCGGGGCATTGCTTCCCTCTATTTCTTTTAGTTTTTGGATCTATATGGGGCATTAAAACTCAACCGCGCCCAGAAACTCATCACCAACACGCCCATTGCATCCGCTACTGCCAAGCATTCACGTGATAATGACTTTGTCTGCACATGAAAACTTGTAAAACCTCTCCCTTTTTATGACCAAGTTTCCAGTATTGATATATATTGTAGTACATAATTCTTTAATACAATATAAAGTCATTTAAAAGTATTCATGTAATTATCTATTGACTTATTTTAAACCATAAATTTTAAATATTTATCCTTTTTTTCTTAAATTGTATACCTATTTTTGCGATATAAAAATGACACAATCGATATGTACAGCTGAAATCTCTTCTGCATAGAAACACGTAACAGAATCGAATGGACATGCAAAACATGGACAAGCTTGTTAAGTTGTCCTCTTTTATTCTTACGTTACGCGGCAATAAATCTCTTCTTCTACGACCACGTAAACTTGGAGACTGGACACCCGTCTTCATGCATGTCTTCTCATTGAAAGTCTCATCTCTATCTTCCTCCAACAATTACACTATATAGCCCCTCTTCATATTTAGTTTCTTCGACTAACAAGAATTACTAATCCAAAATGATGCTAAAAGTGAGACCTTTTCTTTTTTGTTTGCTATTGCTTGCGGTTGCATCCTTAGCTTTGGGTACAAAAGACCCAGAACTAAAACGATGCAAGCACCAGTGCAGAGCCCTACAGCAAATCGGGGAGCATCAAAGGAAAGAATGTTACGAAATGTGCGAGAAATACCACAGTGAGAAACAATCGAAAGAAGAAGACACTTCAACTTTTCTCCCCTATAGAGGCAGAGAGGAAACAGGGGAAGAAGAGCAATATGGGGAACAAGAGAGGGAAAATCCTTATGTCTTTGAGGACAAGCACTTTATTACTGGAATCAAAACCCAACATGGCAGAATTCGTGTTCTTCCCAAGTTCACAGAGAGGTCTAAGCTACTTAAGGGTATCGAGAATTACCGAGTTGCAATTCTTGAGGCCAATCCACAGACCTTCATTCTGCCTAACCATTGGGACGCTGATGCTGTCCTCTTTGTTGCTCAAGGTATTATTTTTTTAACACACTTGACAGTGTGAACTTTTTTTTTAATACTATCAAATTGAGATGATTCACCACACTTAATAAGTGCAACAACAAGTAATTGTCTATAGTATTTTAAATTTGGTAGTAAAAATATATTGATCGTGCATGGAAATGAGTTGAATCTGTTCCTTAATGAATAAGCTATGTACTATTTATTATCTAGTGAGACAGTTGTTATGTTAGGTTCAATTTTTGTACATGCTGAGTAATTATAGTTCGAGTAATTAGAGTAATTAATTATAAACATGGGTGCAGGGAGGGGAACACTGAACTTGGTGCGTAGGGGTAAGAGGAACAGCTTCAATATTCGGCCTGGAGATGTAATCAGAGTACATGCTGGGACTACTGCTTACTTGATCAACAGGGACAATAATGAAAAACTTGTCATAGCCAAGCTTCTCAATCCTGTTTCCACCCCTGGCCAATTTGAGGTAATTAAGCTTCAATTTATAACAAAAATTGAGTGCTTAACAATTTGAGTAATGTCAGATTTGTTTGGTTGCAGCACTTTTTTGGATCAGGAGGGCGAGAAAACCCAGAATCCTTTTACAACACCTTCAGCTCTGAAATACTTGAAGCTGCACTCAACGTGAGTTAATTTTTTGTTGTGGATATAATGCAGGAATATATAATATAGTACTCCATTCTTTTGGTGTGTTTAGATTATTTAATTAGATATAATAATTTGTTCAACCAGGTTAGAAGGGATCGATTGCAGAGACTCTTGGGGCAGCAGAGGGAAGGAGTCATTATAAGAGCTTCAGAAGAGCAAATCAGGGCAATGAGCCAGCACGAAGAAGGCGGAATTTGGCCTTTTGGTGGAGAATCAAAGGGTTCGGTCAACATTTATAGGCAACGGCCCTCCCAATCGAACCAATACGGACAGCTTTATGAAGTAGATGGTAGCCACTATAGACAGCTAGAAGACCTCGATATTTCCGTCTCTTTCGCCAACATCACTCAGGTTCGTAAATTTCATTACTCTGTCTATTTCGATTTATGCGATATATTTTGACTCTGACACTTTGCTGGTTCAATTTGTATATTTAGGGTGGGATGTTCGGCCCAGTTTACAGCTCAAGGGCAACGAAGATAGCAGTGGTGGTTGATGGTGAAGGTTACTTCGAGATGGCGTGCCCGCACTTGTCTTCTGAGTCGGGTAGCAGAGGACGACAAAGCAGAGGAAGCGAAAGGGAAACGAGAATTGGTTCAGGGTATCAGAAGGTGCGGGCAAGGTTAAGGCGTGGAATGGTGGTGATTATCCCTGCAGGCCATCCAGTTGTGAACGTAGCTTCAAACAACCAGAATTTGCAAGTTGTTTGCTTCAATATCAATGCCCGCAACAATGAAATTGTCCCTCTTGCAGGTGATTTTATGAATAAGAATTTTACTCGGTGCGTTACAAACATATTAAAGTTACCTATGATCACACATAACTCTTATGTGATAACAGATAATTCACTATAATAATAAGGCTCAAGTTACCCAAAAATAAATAAATAAAAATAGGATTGATTACCATTTTTTACCAGTCAAAGCATAGAATTTAACTTCAAATTGACAATTTTTATGACTTGAAGCAACATTTTCATCTGATATATAACGACTCATTGATAATATTGGCCAGGGAGGAACAATGTAATGAGTCAACTGGAGAGGGAAGCAATGGAGTTGGGTTTCGGGGTACCGGCAAGAGAAGTGGAGGAAATATTCAGGAGCCAACAGGAGGAGTTCTTCTTCCAGGGGCCTGGTGGTCGACAGCAACATCAGGAAGGTGGCCGAGCCGATGCATGAGCGGCGGGCTGTGGTTGATGCGCCTTGAATGTGGGTTCATGGTGGCTAAACGAGATCAAGACAACTGTGTTGTGGTTTTTGCACTAGTAATGTTGCTACTACTGCCTATCCTGTAAATTTGGTGAATAAAAAGGATGATTATAAATATAAAAAGCAGTAGTGGCCTTGTGGGGGTGGCGCTAAGAGAGACTTTATGTCATGTCGTAGTTATAATATGTGTAGTGATGATGATCAGAGGAAATGTAAAATTATGAAGACGAAGCTCTAACATGAATAAATTAGCTTTGGCGGTTCTAATGCTTGTGACAGCCGTTTTACCTCTCTCTGACTTCCATTTATGCTCGGTTCCTATTTGATGTCTTGCAAATTGTGAGTTGTTCATTTTAGTTACAAAAAGTCAGAAAATATATAGAATCGTGTCTGCCATTTGTTGGTATACCAACCGCGCCTAGAGGTGCATTGTTGGAACTGAAAGATTTGGGGGTTTTTGCTATAGCCAAACACAAGGGAAAGATCATTACGTTGTGGGTCGTCCCGGCTAGTTATAAGTGAATGACTATTAACTTTCGCTTTGGAAGTTTTCGCTATAAGCACTTAGCCTAATAACTTTCGCTTTGGGAGTTTTCGCAATCGCGCTTAGCCTGGGAAGATATTACGTTGTGGGTTCTGGCTAAATGAATACTTTACTCTGTTCCAGGTATACACTATTAGTTTATGTATACCTATTTTCCTTTTTTTGTCCGTTCTTATCCGTTCCAAAAAGAATGATCCCTTTCTAAATTTGGAAACAGTTTAGCTTAAATTTTCAACTCTACCCTTAATAAGAAGCATTTATAACCACACAAATAATCTGGATCTCTTTTTAACTTGTTTAGTACCATAAATTCTAAAAGTTTTCATTTTTTCATAAATTCCATGTCCAGTCTAACAGGTTCACATAAAGTGAAACGGAGGGAGTAACTATTAGGAGAATGATTAACAGGAGCAGTAACATCTTTATCTACTCCCTCTAACATCTTTATCTACTCCCTCCGTTCTAATTTATGTGAATTTATTTGACTGGGCACGAAGTTTAAGAAAAATTAAAGACTTTTGAAATTTGTGGTCCTAAACGAATTAAAAAGGGGCTAAGAGAATTTGTGTGGTTATAAAAGCTTCTCATTAAGGGTAGAATCGTAAGTTTAAGCTAAATTGTTTTCAAATTTAAAAGGGGGTCATTCTTTTTGGAACGGACAAAAAAAAAATAGGTTCACATACACTGGAACAGAGGGAGTATATATCAATCCTATTCTCTAGGAAGATCTAAAATTCGGCTTTTTATATAACTAGATTTATAGAGAAAAGGGTTGACTGATCTAGTATATTTGTGATGAATACCAAATGTGTCTTGTCAATGATTTAAGAATGTGAGAAGAACCTCGACAAGGGTGATATTCTTCACTGATTTCTTTGACAATGATGGATAGTGATAAGCCCTTGAATATTTATTCTTCTTGGATTGGAAGAGAAAGATAGATCAAAAGTGTAAAGGAACACTTTATATGTATATGATAAAGAGAGAATCTGTAGAGAATGTCAATATTTGTTCTTTATAGAAGTGTTCAATCTCCTCCCTAGAACTACATTCTTCATATTAGTAAGGGTATATGGGCCACAAAATTCTAGATAGTACAACATATCTAGGGGAATATACGCTAGACAATCTAAATCTTTAAACTATCCGTTAGTGCGCGCCGATGATAGGTGCTCATCCTCGTCCTCGTCTTCTATCAAGCCACCTCAACCTCGACGACGACCTACTTTCGTTATGTGACTTCGACCCTTGATTTGTTGTAATGCCAATGTATAGCAGCCTTTGAAGGCTATTATATTCGTTGACCACGTAAAAAGCGTGACATGGAGTTTTTTGCCCCCTACAACAATATTTTTAATTTTTGTAGCGAAAATTTATGAAAATACATATATTTTAGTTTGTTCCAATTCTTATATGCATGCGTACGTAATCTAACTTAATAAATTTGAGGACATTCTTTGAGATCATATATTTAAAATTTTAAATGTATGACTGTTTACCTCGAAATACGAGTAGCAATTAAACTTGTAATGTGGTTATAAGGATACGTGATCTAATTCAATGCCAAATGATAAATAGCTGATAAATAAAGGAATTAGACGACTTAAATGGATCAAACCCATGTAATTGCAAGTTACTGACCCCGATCTAGATCAGACTCGAGATCAAGTGCCAAGAACAGTAAGAGTAACAAGAATAGTACGAACAATATGAACAGTAAGAACAACCAGGAATTAAGAGTAAGTAAAAGAGCTGAGTGCTTGTATTTTTCAGTAGTAACGTAGGAGATAATTCGTGTATGATGATTATGGTGATGATATCCTGCTCTACAAATGAACAGGATTCCTCTTTATATAGCAGAGGAATCCTAAATAGGATATGACTCTAATTTCGGAAGTAAAATACATGATTGATATCATTAACCGTTAATGGTTCTATCGGTCCCGAGATTCTCGTCGAGATCGGTGGTCGATCGCGGATATCTCGCGATCCTGTTACTGTGGTGTTGATTTAGCCTGATCTCGATCCGTTAACCTTCATATTCTCTGATCCCGAACTTGCTTCGATATCGGCTTACTCTTGAGACATACCCTCTGATGGGTTTTCAGTATTTTATGTTTTGATGATCTAACAAACTTGTCATGAAGAACCAGATAATGCACCTGGCGCACAGGACATACATTTCATGTGAACTAATCGAAGCCTGAAAATCAGCAAAGGGAGGAACACAACAAGGACCTGATGATCTGGCCCTTTAGAGTTCTCCGACACAAGCAAGTCAATGACTGTACGTAATCAAGATAAAGAGGAACACAACAGGGACCTACTGTCTTAGGGTTCTCTAACAAAAAGTACAAGTCAAGTGCACAGCTGGAACGTGACAGAAGAAAGTGACCATCTGGCAACTGTTACAGAAGAGGAACACAACTAGGACCCGGTCTGTTGGTGTGTCCTGTCAGGAAGTACAAAGCCCACTATCCAGCTGGAACGCAACTACCCAGAAGTGGCCATGCAGACTGTACAACAGTCACTTCTCATTGGGAAGAAGTATACACCTTGAGTTGACATCACTATCTATCGTGCCATCCTTTGTGATAAAACAACCTGGTGCAAGATATACTATTCTTCGTGCATTCAGTGATATTCTCTCAAGCATAACAAAGTTCATCTAGCTTTGAAATCACTGGTGTGTCAAGAACAAGAAGACAACTCCACTAAGGATCAGTTTCTAACCGAGTCTTATGTACGTCCATAGTTGAGTTGTAATCTTGTTAGTTGTTCTACATTATAATTCCTAGTTTGCTTTCTTAGAAGCGTTGTCTTAGGAACAAACCAAATTCGTAAACTTTAGAGCTTATGTTGTGACTAGGAATATTCATAAGTTAAATCCTCTGTAACTAGGAGAGTTAGAGAGTGGCTTGTGGTGGTGCATCACAAGTTAGTTTGAAGTCTTTGCAAAAGGGTGTTTGCAAAGTGGCTTGTAATAGGTAGATTACAAGTTAGTGAGTTTCAAGCCTACAGGTGTAGGTCGTGGTTTTTTGATCCCCTTGTGTGGGATTTTTCCACGTAAAAATCTCTGGCCTTCTTTACATTCAGTCGTTACTGCATTCTACGTTTCAGTCTCATAGAGGAAAAGGTACTCTATAGGTTAGTGGACTCACATAAGTTAACAATTGGTATCAGAGCAGGTTTCTCCTATCAGGCTAACACCTAGGAGGAATTCTCAATGGCTGCTCCACCAAGCTTTGAAGAAGGACAATCAACCTATAGACCTCCCAGATTCAATGGTCAATACTACGGCTGGTGGAAGACCAGGATGCATGATTTCATTATGGCAGAAGATTCAGAGCTGTGGGACATTATATGTGATGGTCCACATGTTCCCATGAAGAAGATTGAAGAAACAGGGCAAATGGTACCGAAAGGAAGAAGAGAGTACAACGACATTGACAGAAAAGCTGTAGAAAAGAACTACCGTGCCAAGAAAATCTTGATATGTGGCATAGGACCTGATGAGTACAACAGAGTCTCAGCTAGTGAAACTGCCAAAGAAATATGGGAGGCGTTGCAAACAGCTCATGAAGGAACCACTTAGGTCAAAAATCCAAGATTGACATGCTCACCACAGAATATGAACTCTTTAGGATGAAGAATGATGAATCTATACAAGATATGCACACTAGATTCACCTCCATCATAAATGAGCTTCATTCACTTGGAGATGTCATTCTCAGAAATAAGCTCGTAAGGAAAATCCTCAGCGTCCTACCTGGGTCTTGGGAAAGTAAGGTAAATGCCATCACGGAAGCTAAAGATCTACAGACTCTGACCATGGATAAGTTGATTGGTAATTTGAAAACTTACGAGATGAAAAGAAAGAAAGATAGTGAAAGAAGAGAGCCTAAGAAGGAAAAGAACCTGGTGCTTAAAGCTGAAAGGAGTGATTCAAGTGATGAAGATAGTGACATGGCCTATCTTACTAAGAGATTTCAAAAAAAGGTTCGAAGAAATGGTGGCATACCAAAGTGGAGCAATTCAAGTAAAACAAGGAACAACGATCTTTGTCACGGATGTGGAAAGTCAGGGCATTTCATCAAAGACTGCCCACTCACGAAACAGGAGCAGTACAAGCAAAATCCTGACAAAGCACGATAAAGGAGCCTGGTTCCAGAGAAAAGATTCAATGGAAAAAGTGCTGCTGACAATATCGTTAAGCAGGCTCTTGCTGCTTGGTGAGACTCCTCAAGTGAATCCAAAAGGGAATCAGATGCAGAAAACAATTCCTTGATGGCAGTGGAAACTGAAGGAACGAAGTACGACTCACTGTTCGCGCTGATGGCTCAGTAAGATGATGATGATGAAGAAGATGAAGAAGATGAGGTAAGCTTCCGGGATGTTCAGAGAAATATGAAATCCTATTCTTCCAAGAAGCTAAGGTCTTTATCAAATGTCTTAATTGATGCCTATTATAGCCTTATAAACGATAAGGAGATCCTCACAATAGACTAGGAGAGGCAGAGCAATCTAGAGATGATCTAGTGGTCTGTGTAGTAGACCGAGATGAGACCATAGCTAATCTTGAAATAGAAAAGGAGGCCTTGAATGAAAGAATAACTAGTGTGGAAAATGAGAGAGACGACCTGATTGTAGTAGTTGTTGATCTAAAAGAAACAATAGAAGGCCTTAACAATGAGAAGCACACCTTAGAAGAAAAAGTTGCATCTATTGAAGAGG